TGCTATCTAAAGTGAATACCCCCAAAATACTCTTCTTATTTTTTAAAATGTGACGTTGAGAGGAACCATTCCATGTGTCCAAGCTTGGATTGGAACATGACATTTGGTGTCACAGAGAACATCAAAGAAACAAGTTGATCTGGTTCCCAAGGTGGATCTTAGAAATGAGAAACAGGAGGTGCATTTCGAGGACATGCTTGTCATACGTCCGTTGTAAAATCAGAGGGACTGAGTAATTCATTTCAAAAAAGGGGTAATGTGTTCTTAGTTCTTTTACTAGTACATAGAAATGGTGGAATTTTGGAAGGATTAAACTGCAGCAAAACCAACAAAAGAGTTCTTTTAGCACCATATTCTATATGGTTGAGGTGCTTTGATTGTGTATTCCTGCATTGCAGGTGATCAGACTGGGTGGCCCTAATGGTATCTTTCAGTTTTATGATTCAATTGTATAAGCTTTCAATGAACCTGCAAATACGCGAAACACACCAGATCTCCATTTACCTTGATAACTAAGCAAGTTCAATCCTTCTTAGTACTTGAATAGGGACTCCTAATGAATACCAGTTGCTGTAGGCTATATTTCAGAGGAAGGAACTGGCAAAACCTCCCCTGAGTACTCCTTGCCTATGGAAGCTCCATGAAATTCATTGGGTCACCAGAAGTCAATAGGTGACTGGAAAGCATGTACACACACATTCACATGCTTTCAGTGGACTACAGCTCATAAATGCCATTGCTCAATTATGTGCCACACATTAAGTTTTATTTTATGTATAATGTGATTGGTTTTGTAAAAATTGCAAAACCTTTGCATCAGACAGAATATGAAATATCACTAACCATAATGATTCATAAAAAAACATAATAGAAAGTGTATAAAAATTACTCCTGCAAAGCTTGTTAGCACTGCAGTACTTGCATGGATTTTACCAACTCATTTTTATGTTCTCTATGGTCCAGATGAATCATTTGTTTGGAAACCTAATAAAATGATACCAGTTTGAATGGAAAGGGAATGAAGAGAAATATACTACATATTTTACTGAGTGTGTAAATTTTCTAGTTTTTCAATCAATTGGATAGTCTAAATTCTGCTTAATTCAGCTATGTAAATCGCTGACAATTTTCCAGGCAAAAATATAGGGGATAAATGCTTGGTCATGTTAAAAAAAGTTAGCCTTTAAGGTACTTGAAGGGTTTTTACAAGATCTGAGGATGATATCCTGCTACACACTAGTGAAGCATTAATTTGAATGCCATGTCCAATTGGAGAGCTAAAGGCTGCCTCTATAATATGAGTTCTTCTGAAGGATACCGCTGGGAATATGAGCTTGCTTTATAGTTTTTTATCTGACATGAGGAAGGGCAAGAGGAGATTTAAAGATATTCCTTGGGTCAGGATATAGAATATTTTAGCCTCTGGTTGGTTCTCTGCATATGCAGGTCACATCCAACATTTTCAAATAGTTTTATTTTGACAGGAGAAGACTGAACGAGGCACGTGAGGCCAGTTTTGCTACAAAAGGTTAAACATAATAATAGGAGATAAACAACACTTGAACTGTTATGCTGCAAAAGGTTGAACATAATAGTGGGAGACAAAACAAAAATATTTGAACAGCAGACTTTTCTTTCTGGAAGCATTTTGAGATAAAACTCTCTGGATGATTTTAATTTTAAGTGATCTAGCCAGCTATGATTTAGAAAAGCGGGAATTAAACAATGTTATAAGTCACAAAGAAGAATGGTTTTCATCCTGATCTTCCTTCCTTCCTTCCTTCCTTCCTTCCTTCCTTCCTTCCTTCCTTCCTTCCTTCCTTCCTTCCTATCTATCTATCTATCTATCTATCTATCTATCTATCTATCTATCTATCTATCTATCTCTGATTCTGTAATGAGTTGGAACTATGCAAATCAGATGAAAAAGAAGAAATTGGAGGGCAGGATGGAGGCACATTGGGAGTTGCTAACTTCAAGGAAAATTGGTTCATTTTTGAAAGATTGTTGATGGATTTTTTGAAATTGAGAGCATGGGGAAAGTAAAGAGTGGCTTGTGCCGCTTTAAATCTCTCTGTGTTTCTAGGCATGCTGTAAATCCCACACCCAGATCCAGATGGCTTACATTATATACAAAACCTAGAAAAACAAAGGATATGGAGCACAGCAGTGCTTCCAAAAGAATATAATTCCTGCAAACGCTTAAAGAAACATATTTCTCCAAGCTGTAGGTACTATTTATACTGTTTTCTCAGAAATTAGAAAAGTTCTTTCTGGGCTGGAACTAAATCTTATTTTAGTTTAAACTGGATACCTAATGAAATGATTATCATAGCTTTCACTGTGTGCTCTTGTTGGGAGCAAATTTATTTTAACTCCTGGGATACATCTCCCAGAAATTTATTTCCATCAATCTAGATCAATGGTTCCCAACCTGTGGTCCGTGGACCACCCGTGGTCTGCAAAAACTAAAGTATGGTCCAGGGCCTCACTGTTACTACACCATTGCAACAAGAGCAATTGGTCTTGCAAAACCCTCTTATAGTGCCAAGATTTATTAAATATGGTTTTCTATGGGTGAGAAGATGGCGACCACTGGAGGGCATATTTTCTGTATCAGAAACTAGAGCTGATGTGGTCTATCCGATGCAGTTTTCTGAATCAGCACCCCCAAATAACCAAACTGAATCTAAAGTTGACCAAAAACCAATTTGTAACCCTTTTTGTACTAATGTTGGAGAGTGGTCCCTGGTTCAGTAGTCCTTGGTCACAAAAAGGCTGGGAACCACTGATCTAGATAATTCAGAGTAAAGGTGAGATATAGTGAACATCCAATTTAAATAAATGACTGTCTCTCCCTTTTTTATTATCAAAGAAAACAATTTTTGTCAGAATTTTTATGCGTAGCTGAAATAAAGATTTTTTTTTTAAAAAAATAGAAGCATTGGTTCTTTGCTTGCTAACATATCTGTACAACTGCAGTTCTTTTTTTATGAACACATCTGCAGCACACAATTCTTGGCAGTGCAAATTGACAGGATTACAGGCAATATGAAATAGCTCAGAACATTTAACTTAACCCATGCTATTAAACTGGAGCAGTGACTTCTCATTTGTCACATCAGTTCCGACTTTAACCTGGAAATATCAACACAAACTCTGGTTCAGACAGATCTCATATCACATCCTAAAGTACTTTTGAGCGGTTGCTGTTGGGGTCATATAAAAGTAATACAGTTTGTACTGGTTTTTAAATATGCAGCTGGAACCCACAACAAATTGTCGCAATGTGGCGTGCTGCTGTTCAGGGTGCCAACCAAGCATGCTGCCTTCCAGGATACTGCCTCCAATTCCGCAGCTTTATTTTCTGTTTTAAAATTTCTTTCTGCATCTGTAGATCTTGGGATTCCCCCAAACCTTGTCTATATTATCTTGTTTGCAAATTGAACATTATTCTTTCTCTCTTTTTTTTTTTTTTGGGGGGGGGGGGGATAACATCCCTTTTCAGATGTATGATTGAGTGCCAGTCATGAAGATGGGTAGATTTCCAATAGGTTTCCATCTTGCTTGTTCTATCACTTATTTATTGATTCCATAAATAAAATAGAAGTGTTTTCCAGAAGAATTTATAATGAATGTTGTCAGAATTTGGTTTGAGACTGATTATTCCTTCCACCCCAGCAGACATAGGCTTAGATATTAGGTGAAGGAATTGTTGGAACATATGCATTAGAGTGGATACTTCATATGTTTTTCATCATAAAATGTCTTGTCAATAAATCACTGTCTTAGGCATTAAGATTTATACAAACCAGCTACACTAATTATGCTTTCAAGTGGTTTATAGTACAGTCCAGTGGGAATGACTTGTCTCACTTCAGCTGTACTGCAATGTTACCACTGCAAATAGTTGGAAAGAGTTATTCCATCTGGCAGCTCAACAAGCAGGGATTAGGTGGAAAACACAGTCAATGGAGTCTCATGAAGCCCTGCTTAGAAGCAGGTTGCCCTCTTCATATGTCAGTCTGAGCAATATGTGGTTTAGTATCGGTTAAATAGCTCATGGACCTTCTTAGAGGGGTTGATTGGTAGAATCCATGGCCATATGTAAAAAGTTTCAGTTTCAGTTCGTATCCTGTCCAAGTAGGTTTGGGAAATAACTCTGTTTTAAAAGCCTGAAGAGCTGATGTCAATCAGTATAGATGCAATTAGCTCGATTGTCCAATTACCTGCCTCTAGGCCAGTTTTTTTTCCCAGCCTGGTGCCCTCTGGATGGGTTGGGCTGTAGCTCCAATTGCTATGCTGGTAAAAGATGCTGAGAGGTGTAGTCTGAGAGATCAGGGAGCGGTACATTTGAGAAGGCTGGTCCAAACTTCTCATGGTGATAGGTAAACAAATGCAATGAATAGAATGAATGCAGTCAGCATTCCACATTCACTGCTGTAAGGAGCATAGGATCACCCATGAAAGTGAAAAGTTGTTTTTTTTACCATAGAGAACACATTTTTAGGAATTTCTAGGTCCTCCAGCATGACTCTATGGTAAACTTGTGATGGAAATCAAATATAGAATTGCACTGGAGGACCTAGAAATTCTCAAAGACATCATTTTAATCAAATTAGTGAACCATCAAAAATCAAGCCCACAGAGGTGGAAGACTAACTGTATTTCCATGGCAGAAGGTAGAACAATGAATCCAAAAAAGGAAGCAGAGTTTTTAAAGTTTATGCAACCTGTTTTAATGTAGAAGTGGATTTGAACATAAAAAACTGCTTACACAAATCAGACTTGTTTGCCTCCTGCAAACTACCAATGACTTGACTTCCAGTGCATTTCTGGTGTTTTGAAGGCAAGTTGAGTGACAGCTGTGGCGGTCAAAATTATTTTTGCTTTAAGGTCAACATTCTACCCAGCTGCATGCAAATACCATATGGAGGCAGTGGGATGAATGGGGTCTGGGTGCATTTTTCAACAAGTGTTGTCTTGTCTCTTTTCCTCAGATAACATGCACGTATCACTAGCAGAAGCCCTAGAGGTTCGTGGGGGACCGTTGCAAGAGGAGGAGATATGGGCTGTATTGAATCAGAGTGCTGAAAGTCTTCAGGAGTTGTTCCGAAAAGGTAAGGTCCTGAGACTACAGGTGTGGAGTTCTGTTTCCATGAGTTTGGTAAGAAATCCATGCAGTAGAGGAAGTATTTAAATAAACACAGTGCTTGGAATATAAAAGGCAGATATGGGCACTTGCTATGCTGGTTAGGGGATTCTGGGAGTTATGGTCAAAAACATGGGAGCTAAGAACAGCATGTCTTCTGATTTGAGAATGTATAAGAAAATGGGACCTGCACTCAAATGTAGCGGGGTGTTCTCCTCTTGAAGAGGAGAACATGTCCTCAGGGTGTGAACCAGCTAGCTAGATCTCCTCCATAATAAAGGCTGAGTATCTCTTATCCGAAATGCTTGGGACCAGAAGCCTTTTGGATTTGGATTTTTTTTTTGAATACCTGTGTTTGCATAAACATACATAATGAGGTATCTTGGAGATGGGACCCAAGTCTAAACACGAAATTCAATTATGTTCCACAAACATAACCAGAAGATAATTTCATACAATATTTTAACAGTGTTGCACAGCAAACAAAGTTTGTGTACATAGAACCATCAGAAAGCAAAAGGTATCACTACCTCAGCTATGCATGTGACCAATTTAGGATTTTGGAGCATTTCAGATTTTTGTCCACTAGAACTCTCTTCTCTCTCTTTCTTGTACCTCTGTGGTCCTATTTGGGCTTTCCTTTTGTCAGCACTTGGGACCTGGCTTTGCCATTGAAAAGAGGCATATTTAAATTATTTTTGTTTTTAACAACCCTTGAATATTCAAGGATGAGGCTTAAAATCCTTGACGGCAGGTTCCCATACGCGTGTGTGCTGTGTGCAGTTGTAATACTGTGAATGCCACTGGATAGCAATGCAGGGCTCTGCATCATTGGCTTTGGTTTATTGGGATTATGAAGAATGGAGTACAAGAAGCAGCCATGCTGTGAATTCCCATCCAAAGTATTTGGAAATCTGGTCTTTGTGAAGATATGCTTGGCGTTTTGTCAGGAAGAGAAGCCTGAGGCAGTCTCTCCTCCTACTCCAAACGTCTTGACAGAAGAACAAGTCTCAAAGGGCAGATTTTACTGTGTTCCTCCGTCTTTTCCCCCCGACAAAGTACCCACAAAAAACACTGCCTTTTCTGTAAGCACATAGAGGATGTTGTTGTTCATGAAATGAAACACAGTTGTGATCTTGTTTCTGTCTCTGTTTTGGTTTAAGAAATGAACATTAGTAAGAAATGCAAACCTTCTCTTTTGCTCTCTTGAACAACTCTTTCTAACTTTTTCAACTGGATGAATTCTATACAACCCAATTCACTACTATTGGTATATTACATCAGTAGAGCCGATGGACGTCATATTTTGGAAGGATCCTATTTCCACAGTCCATAAAGGACAATAAGGAGGGAAGGTTAGAGAATCAAACTTACAGCTTTTATATATATTCAATAAACTAATAAAGTAACACAGTGTCATGAGAGGGCCTGGAAACTGAAACCTCAATGTTTTAGAAAATGGAGATGGATGGATGGACACCACAGAAAAACAACCTTGGAGATCTCATGTGCCTCACAAGCCATATGATCCCAACTCCTAAAGAAGCTGTCATGCCTCTCACTGCAATGTGGGAATAACATGGGAATGAGCTGACTTGACATTACAGGGTTATTGTAAAGATAACTGCATATAGTGAGACAAGTGAGGGAGGAAGGTAGGGATCATTAAATTACCAAAGTCAGGTTTATACACGCCATACTATTTCCAATTTATATGTATGGTTGTGAAAGCTGGCCAGTAAAGAAAACTGACAGGAAGAGAATAACTGATTTGAAATGTGGTGCTGGGAAAGAGTTGTAAGTTGGAAGCAGTTTGGCGGTACACAACGACAACGTATTTCCAAAGACAGAGATGGGTTGTTCTTGTTATTTGCTGTCAAATTAACTTCAGATTATAGTGACCATATGAACTCTATAGCATCCTGTTATTGAGAGCAATGCTCAGGTCTTGCAAATTCTGGGTTGTAGTTTCCTTGATTGAATCTTATCCACCTGTGATGTGGTTTTACTGTATTTATACTGCCTCAATTTTACCAAGCATTATAATCTTTTGCTAATGAGGCATGTCATCTCATAATATGCCCAGGATAACATCCTCATTTAAGTTGTTTCGGTTTTTAGGGAGAGTTCAGGCTTGATCTGCTTGCTGATCCGTTTATTTCTTTTTGGCAGTCCATGGTATCCATACAACTCTTTCCCAGCACCGCATTTCAAATCAGTTATTCTCTTCCTGTCAGTTTTCTTTACTGGCCAGCTTTCACAACCATACATATAAATTGGAAATAGTATGGCGTGTATAAACCTGACTTTGGTAATTTAATGATCCCTTCCTTCCTCCCTCACTTGTCTCACTATATGCAGTTATCTTTACAATAACCCTGTAATGTCAAGTCAGCTTATTCCCATGTTATTCCCACATTGCAGTGAGAGGCATGACAGTTTCTTTAGGAGTTGGTATCATATGGCTTGTGAGGCACATGTGATCTCCAAGGTTGTTTTTCTGTGGTCTCCATCCATCCATCCATCTCCATTTTCTAAAACATTGAGGTTTCAATTTCCACGGTATAGCTCTTCTATAAAACAAACCCTTTTCATACACCTTATTTTCGCAATCCCTACTATAGGAAAATAGAAATAATCTTCCAGTTATTCCGTTTTCTAAAAAGGTGGACCGGGGTGGTGGAGAAGGGTATCTGGATCTTCTGAAGTTGCCACCTCCTACTTTAAAATTGTACTAGACAATCTAGTGCCATTTTACTATTTTGGATTACAAATCCCATAATCCCAGAGTACAAATCCCATAGCCACATGCTTTTTACTATTAGCTGCAATATATGGGTTTTTTGGTCCAGTATATAGAGTGTGCATACCAGTTTACCTGCTTCTATAAATGTTTTCAAATATTTTTTCGTATTATCTCAAGGCACATCTTCCTGAAAGTCTGCGATCAGATATTATATACCTGAAACATTAAAATCCAGCTTTGCTGTTTTGAAAAGCTTAAGGCAGCTAATGGCAGTAGGCCAAGTGCAAGTAAAGCTGAAATGACTAAATTATAAAATTACTAAATACAGTTTGTTCTATGTTGCAGTAAACAAAATAAAAATCCAGTGTTTTTTGGCAGCAACTGTGCCCTCCTCTCACTGTACCCCACCCTACCCCACCTTCCCCTTGGAATTGGCATTGAATGTTGGCGTTCCCGGCTTTGGGATTCATTAAGATTGTTTTAATATATTGTTATATCTGTGTCCACGATATTTTATAGTTTGTAAATGTTCCCAAGGTCATTTTTGAGAGTTTTGCCCCCCCCCCCCAAGTTTATTTCGGAGTGTTTCTGGTTCTTAACATGTAAAGGAAAGATCCAGTGCACGGTTTTTTAACACTTACTTTTTCATTTGCAGTTGGCTTGCAGTTCATAGGACTTCATGTTGCTAAAAATCCACAGCCTGGGAATTGCCTGGGGTTCAAAAGCTTTGCCTTATTTGGCAGCCCATGATTATCTCAGAACAAGTGTAATATTCTCCCTCTTACTTATTTACACACACACACAGAGCGCTTTATTAATTCACAGGCTCACATCTCTGAGTTATGCTCTTATGTTCAAATATCGGCATTGTATCCACAGCACTTTGATGGATGAGTACTGCCGATGTGGTAAGAGTTCTTGGTTCTTTCATCTTCCATAAATAAGGTTTTTATTATTAAGTCATAAAGCCAAACTGAACAGGGATGGGAGTGGAGAGACTGTTAAAGCACAACACAGAGTAGCTACTTTCTTTGGATCTGTGTTTTTATGAAAGATGGAACAGAATTACAGGTTGCATGCAATGTTGCTGATATTGATTAATCACTCCAAGGAAGGTTTTTTTTTTTCAACCACATCAAGTGCAAGCCGCCAGCTACATTGCTTACAAACAACATGGGATGTGTTACAAATCTAGCCCCTTCCCTTCCCTTCAATAATGCATCTTAACATGCCATCTTAGTTCTGACCTTATTTTGCCTCTGGGTCTTCCGATCTGGTTGTCCACCTCGAGGTAGAGGAAGTTGAGGCACTTGGTGGGAATATTTACATTAGTCTGAGCTGCCGTACAGACACTTCATATTGTTCACACTAAGACAATAACTCCAGATAATGAAATAGAACTTCAAATAGGGATGTGTTACAAATCTACCCACTTCCCTTCCCTTCCCTAATACATCTTAACATGCCATCTTAGTTCTGACCTTATTTTGCCTCTGGGTCTTCCGATCTGGTTGTCCACCTCGAGGTAGAAGAAGTTGAGGCACCTGGTGGAAACATTTACATTGGTTTGAGTTGCCGTACAGACCCTTCATATTGTTCACAATAAGACAATAACTCCAGATAATGAAATAGAACTTCAAAAAATGAGCTACCTCCCACCTTCATTGTTCAATTTTGTTTTGGAAGGGAATCATGACCAGAGAATCATATGAGGTGTAGCCGACCGTTTTCTTACCAAAAGAGTTCTGTAAGTTGCAGTGAATCTCCAAAATGCTAAAAACTGAGTGGTGAGGAGAAAATGGAAAAAGACCACATTTTGATTTGAAACATGTTTGTAAATTAACCACATCAGTTGGTCACAACACCCATTTAAAAAATGAATTGCAATTTCCTAGGAGTGTCTAAGAAAGAACATTCACAGATACACACATGTATGTACACCTTGGCCAGAAAACATGTGGCTTGTGGAAAGCTTGAGGGCTACAAAAATGAGGAGAGTTGGGCAAGACATACAATTATTATTATTATTATTATTATTATTATTATTATTATTATTAGCACTACAGGAGCCCCCGGTGGCACAATGAGTTAAATCCTTGTGCTGGCAGGACTGTTGACTGAAAGGTTGGAGGTTCGAATCCAAGAAGCGGGGTGAGCTCCTATTTTTCAGCTCCAGCTTCTCATGTGGGGATATGAGAGAAGCCTCCCCTAGGGTGGTAAAA